AACAGGTGGGTGGCGTCTCTCTTTTAACCCCGGCCCCGTGATCAGCTGATCACAGCCGATCACCGGCTGACAATCTGTGGGATTTATCAAGATAACACACATTTGCAAAAGTGCTCCAACGTTTTCAGAGACGTCTGTTACCCACCAACTTGAGGCAATCAGGGAAAGAGACACAGGTGGGGAAAACAAGCAGCAGGGTCAACAGAATCAATTTAGGCACACGAGGGAAGCAAAACTGAACACAACACACACAGGACAAGAGACTATCAAAATAAAACAGGAACCTAAGACTGAGACTGAGACTGAGACACATCGACGTAACAGGCAAAAGACAAAACTGAAAAAACACAAGAGATATCACATAAACGTAAACACAGGAGGGCCAGAAAAACTCTAGAACAACAAAAAAATATGATGAATACAAAATCAGAATGAAAACCGCCACAGGACAACCACTTCCTCCACTCCTAAATGGCCTGTATTTGTATAGCGCTTTACTTAGTCCCTATAGACCCCAAAGCACTTTACACTACATTCAGTCATCCACACACACAGGTGATGGCAAGCTACATTGTAGCCACAGCTGCCCTGGGACGCACTGACAGAGGGGAGGCTGCTGGACACTGGCGCCACCGGGGCCTCTGACCACCACCAGGCAACGGGTGAAGTGTCTTGCCCAGCGACCGAGACTGTCGGAGCCAGGGCTCGAACCAGCAACCTTCTGATAACAAGACGAACTGCCAACTCTTGAGCCACGATTCATATTTACTGTAAGAAATCCTACTTTAGGTAAGAAGGTTTTTAATTTGCTGCTCACAGCACTTCAATGTCCAATGTGAATTTAGTTTTCAAGTGCTGTGAAACACACAGATGTGAGATAGTGCGTTCCAGATATCTAAATATAGAGATTATATTTACCTTTGTCGAAGTCTGACCAGAGACACACCAATATCAAACAATAGGGGCTGACTTATTAGTCTACTGGTTTATGAAAATATACATTTAAATTTGTATTTTATGAGAGCTTATGCATGAAAATGGTTGCATATACAAAGGAATCCTTTGAAAGAGTTCTGTTGGAGATATTAAAACCACTAGGATTTGTTATTATATCATGCTCCACTGTCAGTGCATAAAAGTCTGGGCATAGGGAAAAAGTGACCCTTAAGTGCTTATTGAAGTGAAACAGTTCAGGTCTGCGAGGCTACAGAAACAACCACAAAAAACTATTTAAGAAATAAAATAATCTTATTTTCAAACATTCCTATGAAATTTTCCTCATTTGCTAAAAAGAAAGCCATCCCTTTTCACTATTCTGCTCATTACTGTCATCAAATATTGGCAGGATTGAAATTAACTTTTCCCAGTATTACAAAAAAATTGTAATAAGTTACTAGCAATTAAAATATAGATTAATACAATGATACAAAAGAGTAATCTATTTATGTGCATGATTTATATCAAGATATTTCTAAAAAATAAGCCATCTCTATTCAAACAAATCACCAACCCCAACGAGCCACACAAGAGATTGGCTCTTTGCTGACCAATAGGAGTGCTAAGAGAGCTGGGCAGCTCTCCTGTGGATATAAATGAGAGCTCCAGGTGAAGTCCTCTCATTGACAGAATCACTCAGCAACCATGAGGTCTCTGATCTTTGTTCTGCTCATTGGAGCTGCTTGTGAGTGTGAAGTTTTATCTGAGCAGATTGTCTTCCTCTCTGACTGGCAGATGTTTTTCTTATTAGACTAAAACTTCATCCAACATAACTTTAGCTGCTCATGGCTGCAGCTTCACAATGATTCTAATCAAATACAATGTACTTTGGGCTGGAAATCAAACAGCATAGATGTTTCACTCCTGATGTAAAAGTGTAGGAGTAAACAGTTTGTTTACACTTGTGTTTTCAGTTGCCCTGGATGACGACAAGATCGTCGGAGGGTTTGAG